GAAGAGCGGCAAGTTTTACTGTTCCAGCTAACTCAGATGCCTTTCTTCCTTGTGAAGCTGTTGGGAATCCCATGCCCACTATCCACTGGACCAGAGTCTTATCAGGTATTTGAAACTGTTTCTTTACGCTTCATCTTCTTTAGTTACAAAACAAGGAAAACACTGTGTTATGTTTTGGGGTTATGTATCCAAATAATCAACATCAACCTCAGATTTCTCCAAGACTCAAACAATTAATATCCTTGTTTGATATATGCATGGCTTTTTGCTCATTAGAAGGTTTTAAAACATATTTAGGTAAGACCACTTTTTTGAAATGCTTTGAAAGCAGATCCAAAGAAATTGTGAATGGTCATTGTGATGAAGCATCTGGCTTTTACATTAAAATTAGGGTTTTTTTTTTTTTTTTTTTTAAATCCAGAAATAACTTTAGTAATCTGAAGACTAGGTGTCTTAATTTTAAATATATTTTTTCCCAGTAGCCTAACAAAAAGATAGCATTCCTCTTGAGACTTCCATGTGAGCAATTTATGTTTACTATGTAAACTTTGATGACCTATGGCTATAAATTTCTTTCTTCTTATCAGGACTTGATTTGTCTAAAAGGAAACAGAATAGCAGGTTCCAGGTGCTCCCCAATGGCACCCTGTCCATACAGAGGGTGGACATTCAGGACCGTGGACAGTACCTGTGCTCAGCATCCAATCCATTTGGCACAGACCGCCTTCATGTCACCTTGTCCGTGGTTTCCTATCCCCCCAGGATCCTGGAGAGACATACTAAGGAGATCACAGTCCATTCCGGAAGCACAGTGGAACTGAAGTGCAGAGCTGAAGGCAGGCCCAGCCCTACAATTTCCTGGATTCTTGCAAACCAAACAGTGGTCTCTGAATCATCCGAGGGGAACAGGCAGGCCCTGGTGACATCTGACGGAACGCTGGTCATCCACAATCTCAGCATTTATGACAGGGGCTTTTACAAATGCGTGGCCAGCAGTCCAGTGGGCCAGGATGCACTGCTGGTTAAAATACAAGTTATTGCGGCCCCACCTGTTATTCTAGAACAAAAGAGGCAAGTTATTGCAGGGACTTGGGGTGAAAGTTTGAAACTGCCCTGTACTGCAAAAGGAACTCCTCAGCCCGGTGTTCACTGGGTCCTCTCTGATGGCACCGAAGTGAAACCATTACAGTTCATCAATTCCAAGTTCTTATTTTCAAATGGAACTCTGTTTATCAGAAACATAGCCTCTTCAGACCGGGGCACTTATGAATGCATTGCTACCAGCTCCACTGGCTCAGAGAGAAGGGTGGTAATTCTTACAGTGGAAGAACGAGAGACCATCCCCAGCATAGAATTTGCATCCCAGAAATGGACGGAGGTGAATCTGGGGGACAAATTACTACTGAACTGCTCAGCCACTGGGGAGCCGAAACCGAAAATAACCTGGAGGCTACCATCCAAGGCTGTCGTCGACCAGTGGCACAGGTAAACCATGCCTTTCTGTTGAGATTATCTTCTTTATTTAGCCATACAACTTCTGAAGTGGTAAAAGGGGTAGAGCGAGAGTAGCAGCAGTGTTAGAGAGCACACAGACTCTGCACAGAAAAGTAACTCGCTCTAAAGAAAACCTAATCGTTTTGAGACTAATACAAAATAATACAAATTATATAAAAACCAAGTTTCTTACATGCCATACTCTAAGGGCCAGCTTCTTCCTGAGTTTATATAGTTAAAAAGAAGGATAAAAAATCTCATTTGCTTCCATACTTGTGACAGTTTTAAAATGGTACCTGTGTAAACTGTATTTATAATTTTTCTATCCAAAAATAAGAGGGAATGTTGTAAAGCAATCAAGTTCTGGAGAGATGCACTTCATTATTTCACTCTTCAAAGTCTCCTAGTAAAGCATTTTCAATTTTAGTGCAATCTATACTTAATTTATTCTACCCTAAAACTGAAAAGCACTTTATAAAAGTCACACATTAAGGCCTTCACAAAGTGAAATGTATTCAGGACCTCCAATCACTCTGACGGTGTCAGACACATATATACATATACACACTTTCTCTAATATCTCCTGTTACAGGCATATTAATAGTGAACTGTTTTCTATACAGATTAAATCTCTTTGAAAAATAAGTTTATGAGTATTAATTTTTGCCATTTACATGACTTCATACAATGATGTTTCATAATATGACAGAAAAGATGGGGATGAACATTTCCATTTTATGTTTGTTTATTATTTTTAATAGATCTTTATTGGAGTATAACTGCTTCACAATACTGTGTTAGTTTCTGTTGCACAACAAAGCGAATGAGCCACATGCATACACATATCCCCATATCCCCTCCCTCTTGAGCCTCCCTCCCACCCTCCCTATCCCACCCCTCTAGGCATCACAAACCACCAAGCCAATCTCCCTGTGCTATGCTGCTGCTTCCCACCAGCCAACTATTTTATGTTCGGTAGTGAATATATGTTAATATTGCTCTCACTTCGCCCCAGCTTCGCGCTGCCACCCCATGTCCTCAAGTCCATTTTCTATGTCTGTCTCTTTATTCCTGCCCTGCAACTAGGTTCATCAGTACCATTTTTTTTTTTTTTTAGATTCCATATATATGTGTTAGCATATGGTATTTTTCTCCTTCTGACTTACTTCACTCTGTATGACAGACTCTAGGTCCATCCACCTCACTCCAACTAACTCAGTTTTGTTTCTTTTTATGGCTGAGTAATATTCCATTGTATATATTTGTCACATCTTCTTTATCCATTCATCTGTCGATAGACATTGAGGTTGGTTCCATGTCCTGGCTATTGTAAATAGTGCTGCAAGGAACATTGTGGTACCTGTCTCTTTTTGAATTATGGTTTTCTCAGGGTATATGCCCAGTAGTGGGATTGCTGGGTCGTATGGTAGTTCTATTTTTTGTTATTTAAGGAACCTCCATACTGTTTTCCATAGTGGTTTTATCAATTTATATTCCCACCAACAGTACAGGAGGGTCCCCTTTTCACCACACCCTTTCCAGCATTTCTTGTTTGTAGATTTTTTTTGATGATGGCCATTCTGACTGGTGTGAGGTGATACCTCCTTGTAGTTTTTTTTTTTTTTTTTTTTTCGGTACACGGGCCTCTCACTGTTGCGGCCTCTCCCGCTGCGGAGCACAGGCTCCGGACGCGCAGGCTCAGCG